ACGAGCCGGAGGGAGCCGTGCGGGCTGCTCCTCCGCGACGCGCGCGGCGCTGGCGGCCTCGCTCGGAGGCTGGGCCGGGGCCGGGGCCGGGGCAGGGTTGGGGCAAGGCGGCAAGAGCCGCGGCCCGGCTGGATCCGGGACCGCCGCCGAGTCGACGGCGAAGGGCGGGGCGGCCGGGATTTAAAGGGGCCGCATCACCCGCTGCCGCTGGGAGCACCGCGAGGGGCGGGGTAGGAGGCCAGCTCCCGGGATCCCGGCGGGCCCGCCTTGGGACCGTGGCGCGCGCGTGGCATGGCGCGCCCTAAGGGAGAGGCGGTCTCGTCTCAGGGAAGTCGAGGCTGCGGTGGTGATGAATGAGGGTCAGCTACCGTGCGGCAGGGACGGGGGTCGGAGGTGCCTGCCCCCCAAGGCTCCTCTCGGGAAGAGCCCATGAGCAGCTCCCCACACCCAGCCCTTCCAGCCCTCCTCCCACCGGGAGCTCGGTCTAGTCTTGGGAGCGGCCCGTTGTGGCCGAGCTGAGGTTGTCGCTGGCTAGCTGGCTAGCCGGGAGTGTCCGATGCCCTCTCCTGCGCCCACCAACACTCGCTCCTCAGGACCTTCTCTGCTGCACCTCGGATGGTATGCTGCGGACCGGGGGAGGCGCTCCTACTCCATGGGACGAGGACAATGGGCCGCTCTCGGGAGCAACACAGCCGTTGTTTGTAGGTGTGGGGCACACTCCCGAGCCCAGCCAGCTAGCTTCCCGGTGCCGTGGGCAGGAGTCAGGCTCAACCTGCAGTTTAGAGGGGCACCAGGTCCGCAGGGTGAGGCGGGCCCCTGGCTCCGATTTGTACAGCGGCCGCCTGAGACTTTATTGCTGGTCTGCACCTTCAGATAAGGACTTGTCCCCCAGGTCCTCCGCGGAACCAGGAACTGGACACACAGACAAAGGGCTGGCTGGACCAGGGCAGCCTCTGGACATGTATTTTGGAAGCGCCATGTCTTCGACTTTCCGGCTTGGGTGTCACCGACATTCAAAATGGAACCAAACGCTACTTTGTAAAATGGAGCTACCTAAGAACGGAGTGGTTACTGCTACCGAGCCTGAGTTCCATCCCTCATGATCCACAGGGCAGAAGGGGGTGGGGGAGAATGTGATCCCACACGGGGTAGGGGGTGGTCTCAGGAAAGCAGAAGTGGTGATGGTTGACACGTGCGTGCACAGTGCGCTGGCCCACACCCAGAAGGCAGCAGGATGCTTGTGAGGTCTAGGCCAGCTTGATCTAGCCAAGGCTGCATATAGGATCTTGGGGTTAGGGTCGGGGTGGGAGCCACAGAAGGCAAGGCACAGCCCGAAAGCCAGTCTTTTACAGTTTGGGGTGACTTGGAGCAGGCTACAGCCTGATTTCCACACCTGATCCTGTTGGGAGTTCTGAAGGCAACTGTTCTGGATTTTGTTACTGTGTTTCCACAAGAGTCTTAATGTTGCAAAGAATAGCAGGTTTTCATTTTACTCATATAAAGTCTTAATTTTGTTAAAAACAACAACAACAAATAGTGGAACCGCTATGGTGTGGTGCATGCTTCTAATACCAGCCCTTGAACAGCTGAGGTGGTCAGCCATGGGGACACAGTGAGCTGTCATTCCCTCCCCCCCCACAAAAAAAAAAAGTCTGGGGTCAGCTTGATATACAAAGAAAATTCAAAATTCTCAGCCAAGTAGAGCTAGACAGTGGAACCGTCCTAAAAACAGTAAGGCTGGAGAGATGGCTCAGTAGTTAAAAGCTTAAAGTACTGCTTGCCCTTCCAGAGGACCTGAGCTAGGATCCCAGCAGCTGTATCAGGTGGCTTACAACTGCCTGTAACTCCAGCTCTCTAGGGATCAGGTACCTCCAAGCTCAACGCATGCACGCACGCATACACGCACGCACACACACACACAGATAAATCTGAAAATCAAACAGCAGCAGCATACCAGAGATGGAGATGTGGCTGGGTGGTGAAGAACTCACCACCAGCCTCAACCAAACAAAGAAGCGTGTTCACGTGTTCGTGGTTAAAATGGGATGATTTAGGGAAAACGCTACAAGTCTTAAACCGTGGGTATGAAGGAGAGGTGCTGTAGGTGACCGCATTTAATCTCCTCCTCCATCCCATGGCCACCTTGGAGGAGGGGTGCAGGAATAAGGAAAGCCCAAGGAGGGCCCTGATGTATGGGGAGCGGGGCTTCTGTAGGAACAGGAGGTGGGGTCAGGTAGAGCTGATGTCTCTCAGCAGCCTTCTCCCTTTAAGCCTGCAGCGGTTGCCTGGCACGTGGCCTAGTTTCCACTGTCTTTGCCTTTGTAGTAATTAATTAATCTGGGCCTTCTTGCCACCCAAAGCCCCTCCAGACGTTTCCTGGCTCCTCGTGCTGCCTTGCAGCTGGTGAACCTCCGAACACACCTTTATCTGAGGTTCAGCGTCAGGTTCTAAAGACCCACTCAGGGAAAATGGAGCCATATGGGCCCAGAAAAACCCTGCCTTCCTTTCAAGCCCCATCTGTGGGCCTTTCTTCCTTTGTTCTCCTCACTTTCCACACAGTGAAAACAGAGTCGCCGACACACACACACACCCCTTCCTTTTTTCAGAGTCAGCGGCTCACTATGTAACCCTGGCTGGCTAGTGTAATTCACTGTGCAGACCAGTGCCGGGCTTAAGAGTCTGTAGGAAACGCAGCTGTTATGATCACAGGCCTCAGCCCATGTTCTGGGACAAGCCGTGGAGGTGGTGCAGGCACCCAGCCTTGGTGGAAGTCAAGAACAGAGGTAAGAGAAATATAAAATCCATGCATGTCTTCACTAGCCTTTAAGTGAAACTTGATGTGTCCTTCAGTCATAAATGGGAACGGCATCCTGTAGATTTCCCAGTCCGCGTGACTGTCGCAACAGAAATGATAGGGATTTTTATCTAGTTCAATTGGAGATGTGGCAGGCACCTCAAAAGAACAGATACACTCAAGGGAGTAGCTTCATATTTCTGACATTAGTCCTACCTCTAGACAGTACAAGTTAAGAATCATGGGTATTCATATATTTTTTAAAATATATTTTTCTGACATTTGCATTTCAGTTGTTTGTTTGGCAGGCATTGCCTTATAAGATGTGACGTATGGTCTGTGACGAGCGGAGTTCAGGCAACAGTTAACAGCTCAACTGTCACAAGAGTTTCTGCAAGAGGAAAAGGGTTTGATTGCCAACACACACTGGAAACTCACAAGGGAATCAGCTGTCCCCTTCCATCCTCTGAGAGCATCGCACACACACGGAATACATACATGAGCAAGCAAAACACCCAAGTATGTTTTTTTTAAAAAGACAAAAAAATTTAAAAGACAGTTCGAGGCCAGGCTAGGTTATATGAAATCCTACACACAAACGCACACACATACACACACACAAATTGCCCAAAAATAAGTTAAAGGGCTGGGCCATGGTGGTGAACTCAGGAGACAGGAAGAGACAGATCTCTGAGTTTGAGTTCCAGCACAGCCAGGGCTACACAGAGAAACCTTGTCTTGAGAAAACAAACAAGCAGGGCTGGAAGGATGGCTTAGCAGCTAAGAGTTCCTCAGTTCAAATCCCAGCACCCACATGGTAGTTCATAGCATCTATCACTGTAGTCCCATGGGATCCAATGCCCTTCTGGTGTGCAGATGTACGAGCAGACAAACACCCATTACATGAAATACATAAACAGATCTTTTAAAATATATATACAAAAATATATAAGTAAAAGGGTTTTTTGTTTTGTTTTTTAAATCTCAGTCCCTGGGAGGCTTAGGAAAGAGGATTGCTTCAAGTTCAAAACCAAGTTGAACTGTACAGAACTGGCTTACAGAGTTAAAGATTGTCTCTAGAAACAAAAATCTAACCACAGAAACAGGGATGCTTTGATGCTCATGTAGCCATTGCCCTGCCAGAACCTGCCCACCTTGCCCAGGGCTGGAGAGGTGAGGCCCATGGAGCTTGGCAAGATTATAATGGAGGAAGATGATCATGCCTGGCAGGGCAGACGGCCAGTAGGGGAAGTGAGGTTGGCAGTGAGTCCCAGGGCACAGGAGCTGTCCTCAGCACACACACAGTGCCTCCCCTGCCACACGCAGAGAGAGAGCTGGGTGAGACACCGGCCCTGTGCTTGCAGAAGAAGGATCTCTCTGTATCTTGTCAGGGATTTATTTAGTTTTTTTTCTCCCCCCCCCTTTTTTTTTTTTTTTTTAATGTAACCAAGGCTAGTCTCCAACTCCTGATCTTCCAGCCTCCACTTCCCAAGTACTGTGATTATAAATCTCATTGTCATATTTGAGGTTTTTGTCTTGAGATCAAAAGCAAGAAGAGGACCCGGGTGGTGGTGGTGTATGGGAGGCAGAAATGGGTGGATCTTTGGGTTGGAGACCAGCCTGGTCTACACAGTGAGGAGTTCCAGGACAGCCAGGGCTGTTACACAGAGAAACCCTGTCTCAAAAGACCAAAAAAAAAAAAAAAAAAGGAGCAGAGGAACAGGACCTAGAGTTTAAATCTCAAAATGAGCCTTCCTGCTGGCAAAGGGAGGGACTGCAGGAATGAGAGGAAGCCAGCAGACTAGCTACCAGAGAGATGCCATTCAGGTGCAAGGGGCCGCACATCAAAGCAGCACTGAATAGAACTTACTTTGCACTGGCAGCCTTTGAGAACGGGCTTTTTATCTTATTTTATTTATTTTTTTAACAGGATCTCTCTGTGTAGCCCTAGCTGACCTGGAACTTGATATGAAGGCCAGGCTGGCCTTGAATTCACAGAGATATGCTCACCCATGGCTCCCCAAATGCTGGAACTGAAGGCTGAGACGCCTAAGAACAGGCTCTTACCTAAGCAACTCCGTGTGCCCCAAAGCAGAATCTCCCAGAGTACTCTCCGCTGGAATTAGCCAGAAAAAGATAAAATCTCAGAGCCTTGGCACCAGACAAACCCAGCCACACCCACACGGACAAAAGAACTTACACATCATCTTTCTTAGAAGTTATTTATTTGCCTGTAATTCACCCTCATTAAATTGATATACAGTGGGGAGGCGGCAGGAAGAGTGATGGCACCCCCTGCCAAGCCCGGTGACACCAAGGCCTGCATTATAGAGGGTGAGAATGGGTTCCCACAAGTTGTCCTCTGACCCCACAGGTGCACTGCGGTGTATGAATTCACATGTGTGCACACAAACACTAAGTGTAATTTAAACAAACAAACAAACAAACAAAAGTTGATATTTGGGCTGAACATGGCAGCCCATGCCTTCGATGCCAGCATTCATGAGGCAAGGGCAGGCAGATCTCGCCGAGTCCCACGCCAGCTCCAGGGAAGTGGGGACTGCATCCGGCACAGACTCAATTGCCAGCTTTCTGGTCACTTTCCCCTGGCAGGACTGCCTTGCTAGGCCACAGGGGAAGAGGACATGCTCAGTCCCGATGCAACTTGATGAGCTGGGCTGGATGGGAAAGGGAGCTCCCCTTTTCTGAGGAATAGGGGACGGGGTGGGGGGGAGGAGAAAGGGAGGGGAGGACTGGGAGGGGAGCAGGGATAGGGCTACAACAAGGATGTAAAGTGAATTAAAAAATTAATTATTTTAAAAATGAGCTCCAAGACTCTAGCTACCTAATACAATAAGTAGATAAAAATCTCTTGCCAGTCCGTTGTCAGGTTTTAATTAAAATTTTTTTTTCTGGGGTTTTGTTGTTGTCAAGTTCTTACTACCAGCCTCCAACTCAGGATTCCTTTACCTCTGCCTTCCCCATGCTGGGCTTACAGACCTGGCTTAATTCACAGGCCTATGACGTCACACACACGTGAAAAGTCCAACACTCTTACTTCAAACAATTAACAACTACCACCTCCAGGAGTAGTGAGATAGCTCAGTGGGTGCAGTCATTTTCGGCCAAGCCTGACTCCTGCAAGTTGCCCTTTGACCTCCACATTCACACCATGATGCACAAATGTGTGCACACCTACACAGATACAAAATAGGTAAGAGCCAGGCCGAGGTGGCGCTCACCTTTGATCCCAGCGCTTGGGAGGCAGAGGCAGACAGCCCTCTGAGTTTGGGGGCTGGTCTACAGAGTGAGTTCCAGGACAGCCAGGGCCACATAGGGAAACCCTGTCTGGAAAAACAACAAAAAAAGGTAAGTAAATAAATGGGATTAAACTTTTCTTTAATTTCACAGTCCTCTCAAGTAGATATAGGAGGGTAGAGGTCCCAGGGAAAAGATGATCTGGAATGGGGTGGGGGTGTTTTTTAATGAAAGTATACTCTTCAAAGCTTCGTGTCCATCAAAGGCTCTGAGAGCTCTACTCACTTTAGTTCTTACCCAGGCCTCAGGGTTAGCTACCAGGATAAGGCTCTCCTGGCTCTAGAAACTTTGTTTAGAAAACAACAACAACAACAAAAACTTGCCTTGTCACTGGTCTGTAGCTTTCACTGTCTCAGGTCCTTGGCCGGAACCAATCACATGGTCAGTCTCACAGGGAGCAGGCTGATTTTTATAGATCCGTAACACTCAGTTTCCTAGCATAAAAGATAAATGAAGTGATTACTGTTGCTATTAGGAATTACAGTCAACAGAAATTGCTGGTGGTTTGAGGGACAGGGTGTGGCCACAGGCTTCTAGCCATTATCACAGTGGCCTTCTCTGGAACTGTGGCGTAGACATGTGGTCTGGGGATACGGCGGCTCAGAACTCTTGGATACAAGTGATCCAAGTCAGCTAAGGTGTTCCACACCTGTAACTCCAGCATTCAGGAAACAGAAGCAGAAGGATTACTAAAAGTTTGAGGCCAGCCTGGTCTGTATGGTAATTCTAGGCCAGCCAGGGCTGTACAGAAAGATCCCATCTATCTATCTATCTATCCATCCATCATCTATCTATCTATCTATCTATCTATCTATCTATCTATCTATCTATAATTTATGTTATTTTATTTTATGTGCTTTGGTGTTTGGCCTGCATGATTCTGTATGAGGGAGTTGGATCCCCCTGGAATTGGATTATAGACAGTTGCAAAAAGCCATGTATTGCTGGGAATTGAACCCAGGTCCTCTGGAAGAGCAGGCAGTACTCTTAACTCCTGAGCCATTGCTCCAGCCCTGAAAGATTCCATCTTAAAAAAAAAAAAAAAAAAAAAAAAGCTGGTGAGATGGCTCAGTGTGTAAAGGCCCCAAGCCTGATGACCTGAGCTATACCCCCAAGAGACCCACACACTAGGAGAAAACTGGCTCCCAAAAGTTGTTTTCTGACCCTCTACAGGGAGCTGATTCCATTTTGACTTTTAGTCTGGTCTACTAGGCCTGATCTAAAATAGTGGCCATGAGACCTTCTATAATTTTACGTGTGTGTGTGTGTGTGTGTGTGTGTGTGTGTGTGTGTGTGTGTGTG